GCTTAATAGTTGTCAAGGTCATAAAACTACAATTCTGAGAGGTACCCCCGAAGTTCCTCTAGGTTTCTTTCTGCTGCTCATCAAACCAGCCAAGGAAGGACGTTAAGGGTAACTCTGCTCCAGTGTATTTGGGCAGACCCCAAGACCTCTTTGATATTAGAGATGGTTCCGAGGATTTCTGTAGCTGAAAAACTCAAAGATTTAAAAGTCTTGTTCAAATGCAAGTAAAACATAATCTGGTTGTTCTTTAATGATCTTGCTTTTCCCTTCAGGCATTTCTCAGAGTCTCTGGTTACATGCATTCCTTCACACACAGGGAAGTGGAGAACCCTCTACTCTTACCAGTCTTTTCTTCTCCAGGATATAGGAAGCCAGTTCCATTAGTATTTCTATATAGATCCAATTTCCCAAACCTTTAATCGTTTCTTGTGCCTCTCATCTGGAAATATGTGATTACATCCTTGACTAAGAGAAGCATTTGTTTTCTTGATACCATGTTGGCATTGCTGGAAGTGCTGAAGGGGTGCAATCAACAGGCGTAGTTGCTCACTTTCACCACAGATGTGTGCCCTAAAAATGTGAATATAAATCGCTCTTTTGGGGTGAAATCAAATGGCACTTTCCCCTTTGTTTAAATTTCAATCTCAGCAATGCTTTCACTTTATTTCTCATTGGCCTTCTGGGAGCTCTAACTTCTAACCTTTTACTATGAAGTGTGTTCTTTCTAAACTGTCAATGGTCATAACTGTCCTTCCAACCCCCCATAATAAAATGTATCTTTATTATGATTTGGCATTTATCACTCTTTTAAAAACTGGATTTATCAAATTGTGAATTTTAAAAGTCTCTTTTTAAGTCATGGAAGGGAAAATACCAGAGGGTCAATTATCCTGGGAGGATCCCAGGTAGCAGCTAGAGGCCCCTAATTCACAATGAAAGAGAGTAAGAGAGTTCATCTCTTCTTGACTCAGGAGATTCACATGCTCCACCCCACCTCTTGCAGAAAGCAGGACTCGGTCACCATGGCTGAGCTGGGCAGGGCTTACCCATGGAGATGGGAAGGGAGGGTACAGCAAGCAAGACTGGCCTTCCTGTTCAGTTACTTAAGCTTGTGAACGCTCAAAGCAATAGACAGCACTTCTTTTTCCCGTTCTTCTGAGTATTTGATGAATGATGAGGGCAATTGCAGTTGGCAAAGTATTTGCAGCCCAGAGAGGTTAAATGATTAGCTGAAGATGATGTTGCAAGTAAGTGACAGGGTTAGAAGAAGAACCAAAGATTATACAGATCCAGGGGTTTTTTTTCCCAAGAGACCAGAGGGTCTTGATTATGGTGAATGATGTCAGGCTTGAGAAAGATGTTTGTCATTGGGGCAGTATGGATCCATGCCCAGAGAAGCAGGAAAATCCTGTTTTCCCTCACAACCATCAACCTTCTTTGCATCGACTTGGAGAGAGCATTACATATCAATTTTTCAGGAAGGTAACGTAATTTACATAAGGCTATAAAGGGACAGCAGAGCCAGAGTCGAGAATGATGTTCTGTTCTCCCTCTTGCTCCTGCTGAATGACAGGGTATTTATCTATTGTCTTTGTTGGTTGTCAGTATTTATTTTGGTGTTTGGTCCCTAATCTCACTAGAAGCATTGAGTTTTGTTTCCCCATTTGTGAGCTTCCCTGTCTTGTTTACTGAGAAGGTTCTGGGCTTCAAGCAGAGCAACGGTCTGGGTGAGGAAGGCAGAGCCCCATATTCCCCAAATGGAATCATGCATTAGCTTTGGTGTATTTCTTGAAGAAAGTTCAAACCAGATGAAAGCCTCCCTTTCCTAATTTTGGCAGGAGAACTGTAATATTACTTTTACAATATCCTCTCAAATCTGGGTGATGCTCCGAGGAAGTTTCTAGAATTCACTCTTTCCCCACCGGGTTATTTTGCCAAAAGCTAGCATGGTCTTTTCTAGGGAGTGAGGCTGTCTACACTTCGGGCAAACAGTTCATCTAATTAGAACCATGGGAAATCCCTCTGGGGAATCCCTGGCTGTGTGTGACTAGGCTAATCTGAATAAACACACACTAGGGGATATTTGTCTGGTAGAGGCCACAGACTTCCCCCAACCCCCTCCTCTTTTTTTTTTTTTTTTTTTTTGGGAATGAGAAGTTTTTGTTTGCTGTAATTGTCTAAGAAGATGAAGGTTTTTCTTACAATCTGGAGTCCCCATTCCTTTGACTGTCTGAAAACTCCTGTGAGCTCCGCTCCCTTGTATAGGGCATGGGGGAGAGTTCAAACCCTGCAAAGCACTTTAGGCTAACCATGCTTGGGACAGAGCTCACTATCTTAGTGATCTTTTTAAATTTTTATTTTATTTTCTTTTTTAGAGTGGCACCATCATAGTCAACTGCAGCCTCAAACTGCTGAGCTCAAGCAATCCTCCCGTCTCAGCCTCCTGAGTAGCTGGAATTCCAGACATGAGCCAGTGCAGCCAGCTTATTTTTATTTTTTAAGTAGCTTCTTATTGAATGATAGTTAACATATAGAAAGTGCATGTATCATGAGTGTATAGCTAGATGAATTTTCTGCAAGTGACACTAGACTGTGTAAACAGTCTATAGATGAAGAAATAGAAGACATCAGGACCCCAGAAAACCCCGCAGGCCCCCTCCTGTTCACTACCTCTCTCTCCAAAAGGCAACAACTATCCCGAATTCCAACATCACAGATTAATTTTGTTTCTTTTGAAAATGCTTAGAAATGAAGCAATACATCATGTTTTCCACATGTCTGGCTTCTTTTGCCCAACATTATGATTTTGGCATTCATCCATGTTGCAAGGATGGTAATAGTCCATGCCCTGTCGTTGCTGCTTAGTACTCCATTGTATGTATGTAGCACAACTTCTTTATTGATTTCACTGCTGATGGGCATTTGGGTGGTTTTTTTTCCTTTGGATTTTAGCTCTCTTTTGATGTGTGTCTGCCCTGTGTACACAGAGTGTACACAAGCTGTCACATAAATGTGTGCCTATGTGTGATCTTATTCTCTGCAGAGATATAGCTGCCAGAGATGATCAATTTTGGGGCTCAGGCCTGATTTCAAATATACTTATTGTTCCATGAGTATACTTCAGCTTATCAAATGAGTTATGTCAAGTTTCAGTTTGGAGAAAGTGGTTTCTGCAGATATAAGACATGTGAATATGTTTCTTACAAAAACCCGTTCTTCATATAGACCTATGGTGATTCCTTGCGACTTTCAGCTATGCATTAAGTATGTATGTTTAGAAAAAACTTAAATTATATATAAAACCAATCCAGTTATTCATATACAATTTGAGTATAGCATACTTTTACGTGGATAACATAGGGAGCGTTTTTACCCAAATTTTAACTTCTTATCCACTTTAGTTGGAACCATTTTGCTAAAGTGCATTCTCTTTATTACACATTATTTTATAAGACTAACCATTTATTTAAAAAATAAAAGCGAAATGTTTTTGGAACAAGCATGGCTAGATATAACGTATGTGACTTGTGTTATATGTTTATCTACCATGGGATTTTTACCTTTCATATTTTTGGCCATTAGAGATGAAAAAATGGTTTGCCTTTCTTCTTGGTATATCTAGAAACCAACATATTAAAGTTGTTTTTACTAGATTAATAACTAACTTTCTCTGACCTGATTCAACTTCTAAAATGTCCTCAATTATATTATCCAGAACTACATAAGCAACTGTGATAAATTATATGCCAATGGGAGATGAATATAATTCCTTCCAGGATAAAATGGGGTAGGCAACAAAATTACTAAGAATGCTCTCCCCTCAAACAGTACAAGTACTTTTTAATGCATTCAAAACATGTGAACAAATATTTGGAACATAGTTCTGTATGTTTTTTTTTAGTACAAACATTGTTTACAGTAGTCACCAATGAACTACTAATGCAGTAATTAATTTACTATGCAGCTCTAGTTGAGAAAATGGCTTGAAATTGTAAAAATGTCTTGTAAAGAATGATTTAATTTAATAATTTAACATCAAGCCTTATCCCCTTTAAACTCAAATTTATGGAAAACCCTTCTGTGTTGTCACCACGTGCCTCACATAATAATTTAGTGAGGAGAGGAGCCACATCAGGGGAGACAAAAGCTTTCACTCCAGCATGGGAAGGTAAAGGGAACCCACCCTGCTTTGTTGGTGGTCTCCCCTGATTTTCTTCAAGTAGTCCTTTTAAGAGGTTACTTGGGGGTTAGAGACTCTCACCAACCTGTCCCCCCACTACACCTAGGAGAAGCTGAGAATGTGATGGGATAAATGCAGGCACATGTGACATTTAACTTCCTTCCCAGGGATAGGGCCCAGACAGCATCGAGAGTAAAGGCTACTTTTGAGTGTGTGTTTTTATTGGTGTCCATGACCGGTTCTTGTGCTAAATATTCAGGCAGAAACATCCCGACGACTTCCATTTTCTTGGACTAGCTAAATAACTGGCCACATGTAGCCTGAGTTCCCTCCACTGCTGATCATGACCTTGGACAAGTCACGTAGCTGATCTAAATCTGGAAAGGGGCATGACCACATCTCCCTCATTGCCTTGTGAAAGTCCAACAAAATAATAGTATTGGAAAGCTCTTTACGAGTAAAGCACTCTCATGTTTACTATGGTTGAGGGAAAAATAGATTTTTTTTCCCCCAGTCTGAATTGTGCCAACCCTTCTGGCTCACTCACTGCAGGTCCTGTATTCAGTTTGTGGAGTGTGGATTCTGCCTGTTTGTATTCTGATATTCTGCCTGTTTTGGAATGGAAGCTTTCTTTTGTGCAATGATTGTGGTTTTCTATGGATTATACAGAATTCTGATCCAAGCATAATAGAAAAGCTTCATGTGTTTAAAAAAATAAACAATAACAAAAAATTACTATTTTAATGAGCTAACACATGGTCTTTATGTGCCAGCTATGGACTGAGCTTTGTAAGATTTCTTTTTTTTTTTTTTTCCTTAGAATCAACAGCAACATAAGAGATACGCTTAATGATTTTGCTCCTATAAAGTGTAACAGGAAATTCACCTGGCCTCCAGCCAAAGGATGTCCATAGGTAGGTGCAAATTAAGATTAAAATGGTTAGTCTGTGTCTGATCCCATTCCGGTTCTTCCCCCTGGCTGCAAATAGGTACAAGGAGAAGGATTTGTCACAGTATTTTTTCCCCAGGGTCTCCATGTGATCCATGTGATTCCAGCTGATTCTCCCTGGATGACTTGCCCAGCAACGCAGCAGTAGCAGAGATTTCTCACCAGGCCAGAAGAATCTACGTGCACCTGGGAGGCGATTTCTCACCAGGCCAGAAGAATCTACGTGCACCTGGAAGCACATGCTTTGAGCTTGGGCATAAATGATTGGCTCCAGAATGTGTCTGTGGTTTGCTGGTCACCCTCGAGTCCCAGCAAGAGCAGGGTGCCTCATAGATCATACAGGCCTACATGGTGCGTCTTCCAGGAAGGTGGGCAAACTGCCTAACTACTCAATTTGCTCATTTTTAAAATGGAGTTATAATATTACCCATCTTGATGGGTTGTTTGGAGCATTCAGTGAGATAATGCTTACAAAGCAATTAGTGCAGGGCCTGGCTAAGGTTAGCTTTTAAAATTGTTGTGTGTCTCCCATCTCCACCTGTGAAGGAGGCTGTACCTCATAGTTTCAATGCCTGGTCAGGTAGTACAAGCCTCTTTCCCAAAGCTGCAGAGGCTGGATCCCACTGGGGAGCCATGACAGAGAGACAAGCACCCCACAAAGATTGCAGGATTCCTGCCCTTCTCTTACTTCTGCTCTTCCAGCCTTATCTCTCATCTCCATTAGTAAATTTACTTTCTAAAACCAGTAGCCCTATCCTTTGAAGGGATTACTTGGTGAATAGTTTAAGAACAAACAATAACAAGTATAATCATTGTAGCAATAACTCTTGGTTGGCCTGGATTGGTTTCTTCCTTGCACACACGACAAGGGAGACAGAGTAAAAGAGAAAGGGCAAATTTTTTGTGTTACCTTTCCCTGTAAGGGGGAGTTAGGGACCCTTTCCCAGTTGAAAGGAGCAATGCTGCTTGGTCCTGGGTGAGACACAATGTGACAGTAACATGCCCCCAAATTCATAAACGCTGGAGGGAGTTGACAGCTGGTATTTTTAAAGGAGCTGATTTGGTGGCTAATTTTATTTATCTTGCTTCCTTTGCCAAGATCAGCTGCTTCTTTGCCCTGTGCCATTAAGTCCCAGGAGGTCCACAGGCAGCAATTTACAAATCTATTCCTTTCTGTGGCGAAGGTTCTTTCTACCGCCATGGGTTTTTCATAGAGAGAATAGAAAATCTAGAAGCCATATAACCAGAGTGATCTTTAATGCTTCATCAAAAGCTGTCCTATATGGGTATTTATTTATATTTAGCCCAGAGTGAAAGGCCCCAGGAGGCTACAGCCTGAGCAGATTTGGTTCAATATCTGCAAAGGAATTTAAATAAGCTTACCAATAAAGAAATCTTCCTACAAGAGGGAAAAAAAAAAAAGTGGAACTTGAGTCTAATTGACCTTGGGACAAAGACAGGCTGGAAACCATTCAATAGTCAATAACAGAGCCATGCAGTATGTAGACATATCTTTGTGAGTGTGCTTATGTGTAAATCGGGCCAGAGGTGGAGGGAAGGAAGCAACATCATGCAGTCTCCATGGTTGCATTAGACTGAAAAAAGGAATTGATATTTCGTTATAAAGCTGAATGTTAAAAATTAGCATTCCTAAAATTTCTGACAATCTGGCTTAAATAAAATAATAACAGATGTATATGAAAGTGATATCGCTCGAGATTAACAGTTGTATAATGGATGTCCTGCTATACAACGTTTATGAATAATGCAGCATTATCTATTATCTTTAAATCTATCCAGGATTAACAGCTTTGCAGATTATTTAGCCTCCAAGATTTAAGGGATAAAATCAATACATATATGTTTTGATAATCGATGACAATCAATTCATTAAAAATAAACACCTAGCCAACCTCCGTTAAATGCTCAGGGAGTGTCCTTATTCTCTAATTGTGTTGGTTTATTTGCCATGCTAGCAATTTGGGATGATGTCTTTATAATCCATGTCAATGGTGAAAAAAAAGAGAGAGAGAGAATGTTCTCCACATCCAAGCAAGAAACAAACAAACAAACAACCCAAGACATCTTCTCCAGGAGTTTCAACCTAAAAAAACCAGAGCTTTCTATTGCCCTTGGGGTTTTGCTGCTGCATCTCCTGACACTAGGGGTTGGACAATGATTGGTTTCCTTTGATAAAAAGTTCTTCAGGAAAAGAACAGCTTAGTCAGAGGAGGCCACCAGGCTGTGCACCCCAGCAGTGCAGTCTTGGGCAGGGTTGAAGAGGGGAAAGAGGAAGAAAAGCCACTGCCTCTGCAGCATCCACAGTGGGAAAGCAGCGGGCCTGGAAAAGGCGACAAATTGCTCAGGTTACATTTAGAATGATCACTATTCTTCCCCATTTTGACATGGATGTCACTGTAGAAAGGGGTTTTAGCTTAGATTACTGATAGTTGTCAGAGTGAGGAGAAATTCCCCCACCCCCAAATTCTGTAGTAGAATTCTTTATTCTTGAGTTCATCTTCTCAAGGTGACACTAGACCCTAATTTCAGACAGTTGTTGTATCTTTCCTCTCTCTCCACCTTTCTCTCCCTTTCGCTTTCTTTTTCTCTGTAATGCTGAGCTTTTGGCAAAGATACCAAACAGGCAATCCATTTGCAGCCAAAAGTTTATGTGTATGTTGATTGTTTCTGATGAGTGGATGGAAACCTCAGCTTCTCAGTGCCCTTGAGCAAAAAGGGCTGAACGAGTTGTGTGTTTCCACATCACATATCATCTCAATAGCTAATTCTTAGGTTGCAGAATATTGTTCTAATATGAAATTCTGGGGCTGTAGCTCAATTCACTCTCAGTAAGCTACTGCACACACAGATCTGTGTCACAGCTTCTTGTTTAAGCCAATAGCTGGTTTCACAGGGGTTGGAAGCTGTGTTTGAGAAATGTGTTTTGCATCGATTAAAATTTCTTAAAGGACACACTGCAATTGAATGACAGGCTATTTTTAAATTATTTACAAGCTCGACATTTTACTCAAAGCAAATTGTCAACTATATCTAGTTATCATTTTATCTGCTGGACCCATTCCCCTGAGCATACCAACCATGAAAAAGATTATCTCCTCAATTCATTGCTTTAGCAATTCAGGAGATATCTTCTTGGCACCCCCCTCCTAGTACTAAATGATGATAGAAAGGCATTGATGAGTTTTGGGGGCATTTGTTTCCAGAATTTCCCCAAACACAATTTTTCAATTGCGTTATGAAGGAAGGCCAAGATGTGAGAGCTTTTTTCTGGATCTAATTTCCACTATAATCACTCTCCTATGGAAAAATCAGAGATTATTTTTCCACTTACATTTTCCCCATGCTACTAAGAATATAAACTGACACAATTTCTTTTGGTACCTCTCTAACCATGTACATATTGCTATTGTATTGTCATGAATGCAGTTCCAAGCTCTTCTCCATCTCACTTATACACGTCAGTTCCCTCTGTCATGGGGGACATTCTTCCTATTGACCTTTGCTTGGCTCTATCCTCATTATCACTCAGATCTTAGTCCAAGTAACAACTCCTCTGGGGGCTTCCTGGACCACCTTATCCTATGTTACTTACTTCCCCCAATACCATTCCAGTAGTTATCTATTACCGTGTTACCTACTTTATGTCACTTACTACCATCTAAAATACTCTTACTTATTAATCCTACATGATTCTGGTTTGTTTTTCTCAGAAAAAGGTAAGCTCCATGAAAGAAAGGATCTCATTTTTTGGTTTACTGCTCTTTCCCAGTGCCTATCACAGTGCCTGGGGTATAGTAGACAATAAATATTTGCCACACAAGTGAATGAACAGGTACAAAATTGCAATCAGGAAACCTAGCTACGTTTCTGTCTGTATTTTCAGTTTTCTGCATGATGCTGGACTTTCTATTTAACCCAGTTGATTTTCTACAAACCCATAAAATTCTAGATTTCAGGACCAAAAGATATCTGTAAGGTTAGATAGTCATTCTGTTGATGAGGAACTGGAACACAGAGAGGTCGAATCACCCAATGAGTGGTAAACATGAGTTTTAATTCCAGCCCTCCAGTTTTCTTAGAACAGTGGTTTTCAATTGGCCAATCTGCCTCCCTCCTCCTCCCCCCACCATAAGGGATATTTGACAATGTTTAGAGATATTTTTAGATGTCACAACTGGGGGAAAGGGAGTGGTGTGTGCTACTGGCTTCTAGTGTGTAAGGGTCAGGGATCCTGCAAAACATCTTATAGTGCATGGCACAATGTCCCACAACAAAGAATTATCCAGCCAAAAATGCCAATCAGGCCAAGGTTTAGAAAGCCTGACTTCAAGCTATAAACAGCAATAATGAGACTTCTCCCTTCTATTTGAGAATCAGTGAGAAAAGGTCCACAAAATTTCGAGTTTTTCAGGATTTTCTAGTACAGAATCATTGGTTGGCATTTTTTGCAACAAAAAAATTTAAATTCTTAAAATGGAAATGCTTTATTATTTGTTGATTATAGAAGTAATACATGCTTGTTGTAAAGGAAGTCAGGTCAAAAGAAATATCTTAAAAAGGAAGAGAAAATAATCCGTAATCCTACCCCTTGGATATAAACATATGAGCATGCTGGCATGTATTTTTCAAGACTTTTTTTCCAATAAATACATATATACACCTAACATACATTCTGATAAAACTAGAATACCGAATTTATATATACTCTTGTAATCTGCTTTGTTCATTTAACAATATTTTATTGGCACATTATAATTCTATAAATAAAAAGCTAATTATAATTTCTAATGGTTTTATAATATTCTGATGTATGGTTGATACAGAATATGTTTTACCACTCACCTGTTGATGAGTATTTATGTTGTTTCTGATATTTAATATTATAAACAAAGTGTCAGTGAATATCCTTGTTTATTCATTCTTGTTCATTCTCAGTTCCTTCCTTAGGATAAATGACTGAGTGGGATTGCTGGGGCAAAGGAAATGTGATACATGTTGTCAGGTGTATGCCCAATTACTAATTGGAACAAAATAATTAGAAATCTCAGTATGCTGGAATTCTCTGTCACCCCACTTTCAGATGAGAAACGCAATTTGCAAAGCAAAATATAGTGAGGCATGATTTTTTTTTTCTTTATGCCCTAGTATTAGAACAAATTTATTCTCACCTCC